GGTAATCGCTGCAAGCACCTCTGAGAGAAAGCCGCCCTCGAGTTCCACCCGCTGCCAGACAGTCCAGTTTCTCCCCCTATGAGTCTGGGTCCCCAGAGACTCGCCCGGAACTGGAGTTCAGAGCGGGAGCGTGTGTCTCCCTCCCGATTGAAAAAGACAACCACGTCCTCAGTTGCCAGCCCTTTCCACGCGCACCTCCATACCTCTGCGCTTTGTTTCCGCACCTCCTCTGAGTCTCAGTGTGCTTTTCTCTTTCCTTCTAGTTGTAGAATTTCCACTCAGCCAGCCTTCCTGTGGTTCTGGATGATGTCCGTTTTGTCTTTTAGTTGTATTTTTGAAGTGGTTGTGCGAGGCAGCAATTTCAGGTGTTTACCTATGCCGCCATCTTGTTTTCTCCTCATTATTTATTTTTATTGCTCAAGTTGTAACAAGTCACTTGACTAAAACAATCCAATTGACTAAAAGATAAAACAACAACTTTAATTTAAATCTCTAGTGAATAGAACATTTTAAAAACATATGTTAAAAACAATCCAATTAATGTGTTTTTAAAATGTTCTTTTTACTAGAGTTATTAATTGAATTTGTTGTATTATCTTTTAGTCAATTATTTCAAGTTGATAATTTTTTACTTTTTCTATAGTGAGATTTGAAGTAAATTTAAAAAAAAAAATGGGAGGGAAACTTTGTTCATGGAGTCCAAAGAATTCAATACTGAATATATCAGTGAACAAAACAGAAGGTTCTCTGAATAGTATGATATATAAAAGGATTTTGTTTTGATGCAGTCCAATGTATTTTTTTCTTTTGTTGCCTGTGCTTTTGGTGCCATACTTAAGAAACCATTGCCACATTGAAGGTCATGAAAAATTTCCCCTCTATTCTGTTTTACAGTTTTAGCTCTTTAATTTAGGTCTTTGATCTATTTTGAGTTCATTCCCCCACACCAATTATCGAAAAGACTGTCCTTTCCAAATTAGGTGTTCTTTCCATTCTTATGGAAAATCAATTGAACATATATGTAAGGATTTATTTTTCATCATTTTATATTAGGAGAGTACCACATTTTTTTCTCTTTATTGATAGCCTCGGGTGATATAGGCAAAGTGCCTTCTGTGGAATAGGTATTTTCCTAGTTCACACACGAAGTTATCACCATCTGGGTGTTAGTTTTCTCAACTTTTCTCCATATTAGGTTCTGCAAACCGACCTACCTTGCTTTTGGTCCTGGTATTCTTTCCTATACCTTGAGTACCATGCTAGTTGAAGTCCAGGCTGTAGGATGCTAGGAATAAATTTTTGCTGCAGGGTCTCTTATTCTGTGGAACTGTATTTTATCATTATGTCTGACTTCTGTTTTGTTTTCCCTACTGCTGAAATATAAGTTTTTTATATAGTATTGTGCATTTTTAAATGTTCTCTACCAGGAAGTGACTCTCTGTACATCTGGTCCACCATTTGAAAGTTGAGAATAGAACTTTTAAGAACAGTTTTATAATCCATTCTTGATAATCCGCTTGTATATACTTTAAAATGATGATTTATACCATTTACATAAATTTTTCTTAGCAGCTTTTATTTTAATTATATTATATGCTATTATAATTTTCTGTATGGCTACTATAGAACTATATTGGCAATTTGGATGTGGTAATATGATTTTCTGATTATCAGTGTTAAATGGTTGTTATTATTTTACATTTTGAAAAAGTAAATGCCCCTAAAAATTACTACACAAATAAAGAAATAGCATAGATAACACTGCTTTTCACCTGTGTAAGAGATCCAACTCATTATCCATAGGAGACTGTACCTGTACTCTGTTATTTGAGAGAACAATTTGTACTTTATTAAACAAATTATTGTAGTAAATATCTTTCACCTTTTCCATTCTTAGCTTTGCAATTCTTGATATTGGTGTGATTAATTTTTTATTTTTTTGCAGGTTTTCTTTAGGTGATTCTAGGAAGCCTCTTCATGAAACAGCAGTTTTGGTAGAAGATGTGGTACACACTCAGTTAATTAATCTGGTAAGAACATATATAATCTCATTTGGTATCACTCCTCTGCATTCTGCTTATGTGGGAATTGCATTGGGAATTTTTTTGTCAGTCTTACTGAGTTACAGATTACATATAGCAAAATTTCACCAGTTTTGATGACTTATTGTCATATGACTACCAACTCAATCATGATATATAGACATTTTCATCATCCATAAAAGTTCCCATGGGTCGCCTGCATAAATCAGTTTTTTCACTTACCCTCTGACCCCTGGTAATAGCTTTTGTCTGTATTCTATCACTATACAAGCATAGTTTTTCCACAACTCTTTTTAAAACTTTTTTATTTTGAATATTAGACATCAAAATATTGCACAAATAGTACAGAAAATTTCTAAATAGTCTCCAACTCCATCTGTTAACATCTGACATAACTGTAGTACAATTATCAAAACCAGGAAGTAATATGGGTATAATACTGTTAATACAATTATCAACCTTATTTGAATTTCATCTTTTTTCCCATTAATGTCCCTATTCTCTTCCTGGAGCCAATTCAGGATAAAAAGAATATTTGCATGATCACAAAATATTTTCCCTAAGATACTTATTAACAACAAAATGAAAAAAAAATAGTAACTTATTAATAGAAGTTAGGGTATCATATCTACAGGTTTATGTTTGTCCATAAATTTTAGCATTCATCAGTGTATTTTAAGACAATTATTACTGTACTAGAGGCCTGGTGCATGAAATTCATGCACGGGTAGGGTCCCTAGGCCTGGCCGGCAATCGGGGCCTTCCAGCTGCCTGCAGGGCCTTCCCTTCCCCAGCTGCCGGCTGCTGGCTGGAGCTTTCCTTCTTTCCACGTGGTGGTCACCACACGTCATAGAGAGTGATAGAACTCCCAGTTGCCCTGTCGAATTCCCGAGGGGACACTTTGCATATTAGCTTTTTATATACACTGAGTGGCCAGATTATTATGACCACCTGACATTTGTAGGCAAATTAGCTATAATTTTGGGCTGAAGTTGCTAGAGGGCCAGATCATTATAAACGTCTGAATAGCACAACGATACCTAAGTATCGTTGCTGATCAAGTTCATCCTATCATGTTGATGGCGTATCCCAATGGAGATGGCTTCTTCCAACATGACAATGCTCCATGCCACTGTGCTCGTATTGTGCAGGAGTGGTTTCAGGAACATGAGGGAGACTTTACCTTGCTTAGGTGGCCCCTACAATCACCAGATCTCAATCCAATTGAGCATTTGTGGGACGAAATTAAAAGAGCCATCAGGCAGCTGGTTCCACAACCATCAAATCTCACAGAACTGGACAGTGCTATTCATCAGGCATGGTGTCAGATTCCTCGCATCACCTTTCAACATCT